AAGTAAATCCCGATGATGGGTCGGCGGCGATCTGCAGGTCGTTTGCTGAATTTTGGTGGACCCACTAATCTACTCAATATAGTTGTACCCGGGTCTTAATCACGGGGTATTATTTAGGGGTTCCTGTAAGCATACAATAGAATTAGTTTGAATTATTCGCTTTACTTTAAATATTGGCAATAAAAATTATTTTTATGCACTATTGTTGGTAGCATAATAACGCTAATTGTCTAGAATTATGAAAAGAAGTGTACGATCCAAAGCACATCGTTAATGTTAATCTTAAAATTAAGGTACAATGCTTAAAAAAAAAAAAAAAAAATTATTTAGCATTTATCCAGCATTTATTTAGAATTTATTTAAAATTTATTTAAAATTTATTTAGCATTTATTTAGCATTTATTTAGAATTTATTTAGCATTTATTTAGAATTTATTTAAAATTTATTTAGCATTCACGGAGGTGAAATTCACCACGATATATTTTTAATTATGATCCATAGAAAACTTTGCCTCAAATTTTAAGTTATCATTTTAGAGTTAGGATTTAAGGCTTAATTAAACTAAAAATTAAGGTTTTTTTTTTTTTTTTTTTTTTTTATGGAACTGACCAAGTACACCAGATATGATTACCAAAGCCATTTTTGAGAAACAACACATCCTGTGAATTTCACCTCTAGTGAACGTTAAATCGTCCTAAAAAAAATATACGTAAAAATAAAATAAAAAAAATTTAATTTTATGTGAAACCAGCTTATCTAAAATTATAATTATTAATTTCCTGAAATTAGAATAACTCAAATTTAAAGTTTAACGAACGAGTATTCCTGATCATCTTAAAAAAACGTTATCGTTATCGTTATGCATGCTAAGTCATACGTACGTAGATACCTCTCCAAGGGTATATACGTATATAATAAATTTCCATGTATGTCTAATGAACTGTTGCGAGTAATTTTCGTTATGTAGTCTTTTTTTTATTCGTATATAGTTTCCGGACTGGGCATTAGCCTTTAAAACTAACACGTCCCTGTTATAAACAAATGAAGGTGCTTATATAACTAACAAATTCGTGTTACTTTGAGCTACTTTGGGTTATTTATAAATTGGCCAAGTACTTTTTCACTCATTTGCCTATCATCATACCTAACGGAACCAACAAATACCCGGTTAATTTATAAAAGAATTACTTTAATACTACAGTACAGCAGTATATATAGGGATGGGGAAGTTTGGTTTGGTTCGGTTTGGTTTAATTCAAATTTGACTGATGCATGATCTGCATAAGTAAGAATTTATATTAGATCGGACCAAACTTCCCCATCCCTAAGTATATACTAGTATTTGTATATGAGAGGTAGTACGTAACAACATTTAAGTTGTTAACGATCATTTAATTGGTTATATTATATATATATATACTTGTTACTAAAACTATAAATCTTTATAACAATAATAAAAATCCTAAACATAACAATAATAAAAATCCCAAACGTAACAATAATAAAAATCCCAAACGTAAGGATCATAAAATCCCAAACATAAGGGTAATAAAATCCCAAACATATCGATAATAAAAATCCAAAACATATCGATAATGTAATAGTTCTACCAATAGATATGTACACGAAATAACGGGCATGCATGTTATTTCGAATAATAGCCAGAATTTAGCCCAAAATTCAAAATTACACCCCTGCGCGTTACTTCGCATAATTCCTCTATATAATACTTTGTATAGTACTTTGTATAATATATGATGAGACAAGGTTCTTCTATACTTAATTAAATTCAATAAAAATAATTATATCCATTAATTACCCCGGAACTTAGTAAAACTGAAAAAGTTAAAATCATTCCTATTCGTCTCCATATGCTAACTGCCAACTTATTATTTTTGTCATTAAATGCCAATTCTGCATGAAAAATTCTCGATACTAATAATGTTCCACATGCAACGTGTATCCAAGTTGATGACAAATATTTGTTAACTTCAATAAAGAAAATCAATAATAAACATAATGGAATGTATTCCGAGAAATTTGCATGTGCCCTAATGGCTCGTTGAATATGTCGAAGTTGGTTATAGTCAATGCTCACGTGGCTGTACGGATGGTCGGTTTTGGTTGCTACATCTGATTCATGTGAGGATTTAGAACGTTCTTGATCCACAAAAGAGATGAATTCGAGTATACTGTAATTTTTAATTAATACATATAAATAATTTTAATATGTATAAAATAATTAAATTATTAATTTATTTTAGCTTGCGGATTAATTTTCAAGGGCTTTTTTTTTTAATTCGTATTAATACGGTAAAGATTTTGTTTCAAAAACTTACCCATCACCAAGAGCGATACGATATTTTCTCCTAAGTGATATAATGCGATATGACAAAATTACAAAATAAAATGCGAAAAAAAACGTATAAAATGGGACGATCTTGGATGTGCCTTCCATATTTCAATATTGAATATTAAAGATTTATAATTAATCTCTCGTTTTTTTGTCAATCGTATTTAAATGAAAATTTTCGGTAAAAAAATTAAGCTCTACTTTCATAAACGGCGGTAATCGGCAACAATTTAACCGAAATCAGTTAACATGTCAGTATATTATTCGTAAATTTTAAATTGTTACGTTGATGATCATAAATGACCCTCCACAAATGGTGATCTTATGATGACCTAGACTGTATGATTACGTAGTTACTAACAACTTTTTTGTAATCAAAAATAAATGTAATCCCTTTTATATAAAAAATTTTTTTTGGGAATTTTATTTTGGTATCTTATTGATTGGGCATAACCACGTGTATAATACAGTGAGTAAGCAGAAATCGTAAAGGTTCAGATACGCAGTATATATTGTACCTTGATTAAAATGTATTTAATCCAAATTTGTCTAAATAATTAATAATATATATCGATATAAGCTTATATTACGTATCGATAACTATTGTAAAAGTTTCTTAGCTTAGTGTACATATGTTGTAAGTAGGAACAGAATTTGGGATTTCTTAATAAATTACAATTTTAGAGTTGAATTTATTTTATATAAACCTACACACTAACCATAAAAATCCAAAGAAACTCCATATACACGGGCAGGGATGTACATTTTTAATGTCCAAAGCCTTTTTTGGCAAGTGTCCAAAGCTCATCTAAGCTTTGATAATTAAAAAATCTATTTCAAAAAAAACATGATTATATATTTTATTAATTCGAAATCTTTTTACTTAGAAAGTTAAAATAGGTTATCTTAATAAAATTGAGTAATTTTAATATTTAAAAATGTCCAAGATGTCCAAACTTTGTCCAAAGAATGTCCCGTGACATCCCTGTACACGGGTATTAATCAATAGTTTGCATATTTGTATATATAATGTCGCGGCTGATTATGAAATCGGATTATTGTGAAATTTGGGGTCTCAATTTGAAAATATAGGCCCTACC